CAGAGACCTATATCCCTACTGTGCTCATCTGAAAACTTGAAGGGCAGGACTTAACCTTCTGTAACAAGCAGAATTAACACTGACACAGATGGGCTTGTGCACAGAGAAGGATAAAGACTCCTGCACACATGGTTCTGTTGGTGATTGACAAGCTGTTCAGAAATTGTTTCTTCTGTGATTTCAGCTACTCTCCAGGCAGAGAGAATTAAACACATAAGGCAAATGGAGTATATCCACGCAGTTGTTCTTGATCAGAACCATTAAGACCAAGAGCTTCATTCAATTTAATCAGCAACTATATAAAAATGGAACAGACTAAAACCAGAACAGTGACAATGCATTCGCTGTGACTAGGAAAAACCTCCAGAATCACAAATGGTCTAAGTCGGATCAGAGAGTGGTGACCTAGAAGTGACCTAAGTGAACTCCACAACAGATAAGAAGTGACATTTGTGATAGTAGACTGCAGTATTATCACGAGCAGTAACGACGGAAATTAAGATGAGGGAAAAGTACAACTACATTCAGCCAGGGAAACATTTAAGACTTCTACCTGAAAAGCATTAATCGGAGGATACACCAAATGGCCAGAAAGCCTAAAGCTTCAGGCTTTTCTAATGGCAGCAAAAAAGTCATTACTGCAATCCAACTGGTATCATTACCATAAACACAGAATAGCTATAAACACTACTGATGAGTTTCTCACCTTAACTATTTCATATTGTTACCGTCTTCATTCTAAGAACACCAGTTAAACACAAGTGAGGACTGCAGTACTAGATACTATGTTTTTGCTGTGACAGTTTTTTTAGGTTTCATCTGAACCAACGCGCAGGCAGAATCTGAAACTATCACTTTAAAAGTTGCTATTATTGAAAGATTAATCAAAAGAAAAATCTCTTTCATTCCCGATTAATGTGCTACATTGGAAGGCAAAAGAAAGGGAGATTTGTTTGCACACCCATGGTAACATAAGTGCCAAAGAAAACGTCCAGAAGGAAATAATTAAGTGTTGACATGGTAGCAGCTGTGTTTGCCAATCTAAATATGATTCAGCCATCAAAACCCCACAACTTAAAGACTAAAGAGAGAATCTTCAGCTCAAGCACTTGTAATTTAAGAACTGGACTTGAAAGTGAGAAGTCTAGAAACATATATATACACACCTCTTGCTCAAACAAGGAATGCAGAGCTTGCAGAGCTATTCAATGACTGCAAAAGAAGGATTTTTCAAATTCAGTCCAAGCTATTAGAAAATTGAAAAGCGATGCACAGAGGCACACCATATCAACAGCTTTCCTTCTGTGACTTACCAGACGCTATTAGTCAGCCTGTATGTTACAATTAGTAAATTTGGAGATCCCTCTAAGAGCTCAAAACTCACAGCAATTTTCAATGCACTACTTCAGCTTAGGGCTTAAAGGTCAGTGAAAGTCAGTTCTCACTCTTATTCCTCCCTCTTTTTGCACATAACAGGGATTCCTATCAAGTCATGCTTATCAGTACTTATTTTCCACACAAAAAGACTCCAGACCCATGTCTAGAATAGCCTTCACCCAAAGACTGTGAAGCACTAGCAAACAAACGGGCATTGCAAAAAATTGCTTAGCACCTTCCCCATCAAAAGCAGCTCAACTCTATTTCTTTACTTTGGTGGTTAGCACCACAGAGCCCAGACACTGAAATAGGATTACGCGCTGCTGTGCTTACTGCTATGGACCAACACGTGACTCCCACCCTAAGGAGCTTGCTCTGAGTCAGTGCTGCCCTGGCACACCAGGCAGGACAGCAGAGCCTGGACTGACAGAATGCGTTTCTCCGTCTCATCCAGCACTTCAGAGAGTGCTCACTGCTTTTACTAGCAAGGCAGGTACCAGAATCGTCACTAAATTCATATTAAAAAACCCCCAAAACTCTGATCTTTTAACAATTATCTCCTGAATACAGAAAATCAGAAAGAATTTGCCTAAGTTCTCCGTTTTCTTCCTCTGCTGAGGCTGTCCTCAACTATTTATTTTCTTTAAAGTATTTCAAGCAACTTGCAACAACGTGCCATGAGTTTCATGTTGACAGAGCTCCAAAACCAATACTCCAACACTGTGTTGATTCATGTCATAACTTCACATATAATAGAATCTGCTATTTCTGAACATATGCACTACATAAAAGTCACAAGTAGCTTCAAGAACTTTGCATGAGCAACAAGCTAAAACAGATTGAAAGGAGGAGGAGTTACAGATATCCTGCCTCCCAGGACCAGACCCACAGCTGTGCTTTTCTTAGCTATTATGTTCCCAACTTTACCCAGATTGTCATATTCATTAGCATCATCACCCACATCACTCAAGCCTGCAGGCAGACAGCAAACTTCAGTCTAAGGTAATTAGAAATTAACATCGAGGAGATATATTTTATGTTAGCAGAATAAGGACAAGCACTCACAACAGGGCAGACCATTACATACACAAAACTTGTCCTTCAGATAAATTAGAAACTTTAAAGTAGCGAAACATGTACTTCCAGGCACAATATTCAAGGATTTAGGTACTTGTATCACAAGTGATAGCTGCAGGAGATTAAAAACAATGTCTGTCCCCCAAAGCGTGCTGCTTGAACACAACCACAAAGGCAGAAGACCAACATGAAAATCCAGCATTTCAAAAAGCGGAGCTGGGTGAATTTGGTAACAGAAACACATCAGTCCCAGTCTGGAGAGTCGTTTGTCAGATCACACAGTAAGTGCATCCTATTATCAGAAACTTGATACAGGAAAATGCAATTAGATTCTCCTAGAAGTTTCGCTGGCTTCTGTAGTAGTGGTGTATCACAGTACCCCCAAGCCTTTGCCAGCAAAGCTTGACACCTCTGGTGAATCAAGTCTTAACATAACTGAAAGCAGCTGAGAAATTTCTACTGACTTCAGTGAGATCAAAATATGCCTATACAAATACTATGCTGCTTCTGACATACAGAAGTACCCCATGACTGCACAGTCCCATACTCATTCTGCTGCTTCATTCATCGCTGCATTTTTCTGAAATGCACATTACAGCAAATCAAATTTAAGCCTAAAATATATTAGCTACAAAATGAGAAAAGCCTTCCTATTGAAAAACATAATTCATATATAAATTGCTAAGAGCACTGTTTGTAGTAACTGAAAACTCAGCTTGTCGATTAGAAATCATAAGGTCCCAGACCGCCAGAATAATGCCCTATTCCACTCTACCTTCCACAAAGCACGTAAAAAAACCGACAGAATGCAACAAATGAAGGAAAGCTTGTTAGACTGATGTGCATATATTTATAATGGATGCGGTTTGAACTACACCCAATTCTGTATGATGACATACGCACAGCTACTAAAAAACCAAATAAGGTTTTGTATAAAATCCTGTATACTTACGTTTGCAGAAGTTTGCAGTAAGCAAACTCCAGCTGACTCTCACCATCATTTCCTGTCCCTGGTGAACATGCCGGTAATTTCAGCCCAACCACAACTGTTCAGCGCGCACACGTGCACAGTCATACACAGAGAACTTCTCCAATCCCTAAAATTCCCCTCCCACCTTTCCTGCATGCAAACCCACATATTATACAAAATGATAAGAGAGGATGTAAATGGGCCTAAATACAGTGTGTGGGGAGAAGGATATCAGAATTTTAGAAAAAAGAGAATAAGGAATTGTGAACATTACTGTTTTGTCAATATTTAGCTTCATATTGCCACAATATTTAGCTTAATCTACTGGAGTACTGACTTTGGAATATCACTTAAGATTGTATTTTAAACATTTCCAATAATAAAAACAAAGCTCAGGAAAGCGTCGACTGTTGTTACCCATAGCTTTACAGAATGTGTCCATGAAAACACTTGTTTTAAGTACCCAAACCGGACTTACAAGCTCTGTTGAAATTGAATGAAACATACTAAACTCTATGATTAATTGATGAAAGTCAAGGGATGAAGCAAAAGCCAACTCTTCTTTCTGTCCCTTCTCGAGAAAGCAGAAAAGGAAGAACACTGCTACCATCCTTAGAGGCCTAGGACAAAAACGTAAGGCAGATAAATTGCCCTACAAGGAAGATGTAAATTTATTAGGTGCCCTTTTCTCTACCAGCTCCAGATACCCTCCTAGTAAAAATACATCAGCAAGTGTCAGTAAAGACTACTTCACTGCCAGTGAACTGTACCAAACAGTTCTCAAGTAATGCAGTATTTAAGTGCTCATATTGCCCAATTTGTCCTGAAATGGAAATTAAATCAACCTGGAAACTGAAGCGGCCGGATTTAATTAACCTATTTTCTTGAAGATGTGGGCAAGATTAAAAAAAAAATTAACAACGGTGACTTTTTTTTAAATTATTTTACACAAGCAGAGAGAACCACAGCTTTGGAGGAGCGACAGCTTCTTTGCAAACATGCCCCGGGATTTCTGAAGTTACACCGAAGGGCCGGCCGGCTGCCGGCTCCATCCCCCGGCCCTGCCCCTGCCCCTGCCCGCGGCTACCACCGCTAATCGGCAGCTCCCTCCGGCTGGCTGCCACCGGCAGCTAAACCCATGCCGAGCAGCCCCCAGCAGCGCTCTGCCGAAGCGGGGAGAGGGGTTTTAAACCGGCCGCTGCTCCGGAGCGGGGGCTGTGACAGGCACAAACCCAGGGCCGCAGAGAGGTGACCGGAGAAGGGCTCGGCGGGGGCTGAGGCGCCGCTCCGGCACCAGCAGCCGCCCCGGCCAGCAGCCCCCGGGGGCTCTCACTGCGAGCCGGGTCGAAAAGGTGCATTTTATGTTATAAAATGCCACTTTTCTCGCGTGCCGAGTTCGCCGGAGGCCACCGGGCCACCCCGCGGACCGCCAGCCCGTCGCGGCGCCTTAGGGAAGGGGGGGGCTGCAACCGCCCACCCACCCAGGGGCTACGCCCCGTCACACCGCCCCATCCCTCCGGCGCGGCAGGGAAGCGACCCCGCCAGCCCCGCCCGGACACCCACCTGAGCCGCTCACCTGCCGCCGGCCGAGCTACCGCCCACCGGGCGCCCCCGCCATGGCCCCCGGCAGCGGCGCCCCACAGCCAGCAGGAAGAAGAAGGGAGGAAGGGAAGATCAACCGCAACCATAAAAAGCCGCGCTCTACCTGCGCCGGGGTAAAGGGCGGGGGCGCGCGCAGAGCGACACCTCCGCGCTCGCGGAGCTCCTGGGGAACGTCCAGGAGAGGGGCTGGGGGGGGCGGGACGGTCGCGCTCGATTGGCAGCTGCCCTGACCAACGGGAAGCGCTCTTTTACTTCCCCCCCCCTCCCCGCCCGCCTCGTGCTAAGGAGGCGTTATTGCCGCCCGCCCTCCACCGGCCGTTGAGGGCGGGGTGTTTCCATGACGTCATGGGTGGCGGCCAGGTGGGGAGCGGTCCCTGAGGGGACGCGGGGACGGGAGCTCCGGGCTAAGCCGGGGCTGAGCCCGCCAGCCGGCCTTAAGCAGCTGCGGCAGGGCAAAGGGGCGCCTCGGGGGAGGCGGTGAGGCGCGGAGCTGATCCCTCGGAGCTGGGGGAAGCGATGGCTGCCTCGGCCGCCCCGTCCCTGAGGGAAAGGGGGGGGGGGCGCCGCCCCCACAGCGGCCTGAGGGGATCAACGGCCCGGGAGCGCTCCCCGAGCCCGGCCTCGCTCCTCCCGTAGGAGAGAAACGCCCCTCTCCCGCCCCCTCCGTTCTCCCCGCGCTGTCCTAAAATTACCGTGTGCCTCTTGAGTCTCCTTTAAAATGAAACAACTCGCATGACTAATTAGACCCACGCCGTTAGAAGGGCTCTGCGCGGCTTCCGCGAGCCCTGTAAATGCGTGCGCCAGACCTTTTCCAAAATTCTTCCAGCTGGCGAGGCTGTAGACGGGATGTGACCTGGCACAGGATTCACGCGGGCTTTATTTACAAAGTGCGATTTAATCCATTCTTAGAGAGAGGGAGGGGGGCGGGAAGGACCCCCCTGATTTCCCTGCTCAGCCTCCTGTGCCTGAAACTGATCAGCTGCTTGTCAATTTCATTCAGAACTCGGTGCTTTTCTCAGCTGGAGTGATTATGGGAAACGGAAACGCTTTTCTTCATTGATGCCATTCATACTGTGTTAGAAAAGAACAGAAGCAACTGGAAAAACGAGCTTGAGTGATGTCCCAAAAATGTAGGGAGAGTATTCATGGATAGGAACTTGTGGTAGCTTAACCTTGGAGAGGTACTTTGGACTTTGAATGAAATTCTATAAGGGCGTGAGAGACACCTTTATTAAGAACACTATCCATCAGGGGCTTCCCAAACCATAGACACCAAAGCAACCCAACCACCTTTAATGCTGCTTTCAGAGCTGGTTTATGTGCTACTGCAGCAGAGAGGGCTTCTGTTGCTGCTGACTGTAGCCATGCAGCCTGATGATAGCTTAAGGGGATGCTGCCCACACAACGCAAACCCAAGCAATGATGTTTTGGTCAGCGTCAAGCAACAAAATCAACGAAAAGCAACAGAAGCAGTTTTAGTTTTGATTACGTTGTTTAACAGAACTTCAAGTTGCTGCTGTGTTGGGAATTCAGGCACCGCCAGAGGGTATTTTATCAGCTTGCAAACAACTGGAGTTTAATAATAGCATACAGCAATTCTTTAGGTTTCAGGGTTGTGTAAAAGTTTGGTTTTATAAATGCAAGTTTTAGGACAAAATTAGCGCTGTCCTTTTAAAGCGCACAAGTGTTGAACTAGAGACCCCAAAAAGCCTGCAGCAGAAACTCACTTAAGGAAAATTAGGCAACTGGAATATGTTGATGGTACACCTTTCTAGCAATTAAATGATGTAATAACATACTGTTAGGTAACAGCATGTTTCCTATGCATGTGCAGCCTGTTCTAGCTCCCACTGAAACCAAACTCAGATCTCCTCTTGATTTAGAAAGGAACTGGGTGGCTCCCTAGGGATGGACGGTCTCCAGGCCCTGCAATGAGAAGGAAGTGAAAAAAGCAAAATAAAATTCTCTTCCAGTCCAAGGTCTCCATCTTGAGTCCTGCCTTATTGCAGTATTTTAGGTTCCTGAAATATTTAGGACATTTACTATTCCTGTGTTCATCACAGCAAAAAAGCATGGACCGAGCACATCTGTGGGCTGTATTAAACTATTTCATTGGAATTACATCAGGGAGGAGTTTGATCTTTCTGTGAATTTAGGGCTTTGTTTCCTTTCCTTTTGTTCTGCCCTTCTGTTGAACAGAAACAATGAAAAAATATTGGAGTGCTCTCTTTTCCTGTGCCAAAGAAAAGTTTAGAAATAGATTAATAGGCAGCCCTTTGAGAATAAGATCATTCTGTTAGAAAACAACACACAGAAACAGTGACAGTCTGTTAACTGAGGTGTCAAAATACAAGATGGTTGTATACATCAGGGGGAATGTATAGGCAGAAAGCCTCTGACAGAATATGGATTGCTTTTCCTTCTTTATAGGTCTATAAACACAAACCCATCCGGTTTATAATAGCAAAAGGAAGGTGGTTAGGGTGTTCCTCAGTGCCATGCACTTAACCTTCGATTTATCCTTGCTCTTTGGTTTTTCTCTTTTGATTGATGGAGCCTCATGACACTGTAATCTTTCCAGAGTTATTAAGAAGAGGAGCTCCATTCTGCATAACCCAACAGGCTGGATTTGTTGTGTTTTATTTTGTGCTTTTTTAAATTCAGTTTCCATTTGGTCTAATAAAATTCAGAATTAGATTACGTGGCCTGAATTAAAACTTTACCACTGTGTGTATTCTTTTAGCTTGCTCTTTCCTGTGGTTTTGTAAAGACTATTCAAAATAATGTTTCCAGTGTTGCAATGAAAGGGATTGTAATTTAATTTCCAGCCTTTTTTTTTTTTTTAAAGTATGGGGTGAAAATAATTACTGCATCTCTATTGAACTCAAAGACATGCAATGTGTTTCATGTTTAAGTGATCTTAGTCTTGTGGTGGTGAACAAGCTTCCATACCATGTATATGGACCAGACAGACGAAGGCTCATTGTGAGATACAAGTTAGGTCCTGTGGTTTGAGCTGAACAACTAAGTCAAAAAAAGAGCTTCTACGTTCACAGCAGAGGAATATGTTTATCAGTATCCTTGTGGCCAAGGAGGTATGAACAGCAGCAGAGCTGTATACATTGCAGTTATTGAATTAATCTATCTTTCACTTCTGATGACTATCCACATATATCTTCAGTCCCAAGCAGCAGTTATCTGTCTTGAAATTCAGCAACATCTTTCCTTGTGCAGCAAAATAAATCTGTCCTTGGCGAATTTAGGGCTTTGTTTCCTTTCCTTTTGTTCTGCCCTTCTGTTGAACAGAAACAATGAAAAAATATTGGAGTGCTCTCTTTTCCTGTGCCAAAGAAAAGTTTAGAAATAGATTAATAGGCAGCCCTTTGAGAATAAGATCATTCTGTTAGAAAACAACACACAGAAACAGTGACAGTCTGTTAACTGAGGTGTCAAAATACAAGATGGTTGTATACATCAGGGGGAATGTATAGGCAGAAAGCCTCTGACAGAATATGGATTGCTTTTCCTTCTTTATAGGTCTATAAACACAAACCCATCCGGTTTATAATAGCAAAAGGAAGGTGGTTAGGGTGTTCCTCAGTGCCATGCACTTAACCTTCGATTTATCCTTGCTCTTTGGTTTTTCTCTTTTGATTGATGGAGCCTCATGACACTGTAATCTTTCCAGAGTTATTAAGAAGAGGAGCTCCATTCTGCATAACCCAACAGGCTGGATTTGTTGTGTTTTATTTTGTGCTTTTTTAAATTCAGTTTCCATTTGGTCTAATAAAATTCAGAATTAGATTACGTGGCCTGAATTAAAACTTTACCACTGTGTGTATTCTTTTAGCTTGCTCTTTCCTGTGGTTTTGTAAAGACTATTCAAAATAATGTTTCCAGTGTTGCAATGAAAGGGATTGTAATTTAATTTCCAGCCTTTTTTTTTTTTTTAAAGTATGGGGTGAAAATAATTACTGCCTTTGGTCTAATAAAATTCAGAATTAGATTACGTGGCCTGAATTAAAACTTTACCACTGTGTGTATTCTTTTAGCTTGCTCTTTCCTGTGGTTTTGTAAAGACTATTCAAAATAATGTTTCCAGTGGTGCAATGAAAGGGATTGTAATTTGATTTCCAGCCTTTTTTTTTTTAAATTATGGGGTGAAAATAGTTACTTCATCTCTATTGAACTCAAAGACATGCAATGTGTTTCATGTTTAAGTGATCTTAGTCTTGTGGTGGTGAACAAGCTTCCATACCATGTATATGGACCAGACAGACGAAGGCTCATTGTGAGATACAAGTTAGGTCCTGTGGTTTGAGCTGAACAACTAAGTCAAAAAAAGAGCTTCTACGTTCACAGCAGAGGAATATGTTTATCAGTATCCTTGTGGCCAAGGAGGTATGAACAGCAGCAGAGCTGTATACATTGCAGTTATTGAATTAATCTGTCTTTCACTTCTGATGACTATCCACATATATCTTCAGTCCCAAGCAGCAGTTATCTGTCTTGAAATTCAGCAACATCTTTCCTTGTGCAGCAAAATAAATCTGTCCTTGGTAGCTTTCCTTTTCCCCCCACCCCTCCCCATCTTGTCATTTCTGTCCTTGTGCCAATACCTTTTATTTTATTCTCAATTACCACTGCGAAGCCTTCTATCCCATTGGCAGGCTGGTATTATGTAAGTTATTGGCACTACCGTTCCTGTGTCTTTTTTGCTCATATTTCTGAATTCTTGCCTATCTCCCTAATCTACCCAGGTCTCCTTTCACATGACTGTAGTCACTGGGCCTTCTTCTGTGGCTTGTCTGGCTTCTCATTAATTTTTTGCAAATACTTTTAGCAGTCTTAATTCTGCCCTTCATCTTTGTGGTGATCACAGTTCTACAGCTGTAGGGGAAGGCAGACCTGCTGTCACAGCAACCTTTACTTCTCTTCTCCTTAGGAATTGGCTAACTGGCTGCAGTTTACTCATTCAGATGAGGGCAGAGAGAGCAAGAAGTCTCACAGTTTTTCCATGTTGGCAATGTATATGTGTGGCCAGAAGTCAGTCGTCAAGGTGAAATACTGAAAAGAAATGAATATCCACAAGCTTGGATGAACAACTAAGTCAAAAAAAGAGCTTCTACGTTCACAGCAGAGGAATATGTTTATCAGTATCCTTGTGGCCAAGGAGG